CCCAACACGCCCCAAAACCCCAAAACCCCAAAACCCCAAAACCCCAGATTTTATTATTAAAATTGAAAATGTGGACTGTTTTAAAGAAAGGAGTCGGAAATAAGCTGAAAATACAAGACTTAAGACTACTAATGGGCTCGATAGCCCCTAGACATACCTGGAAGGTACTGAAGACTTAGTTTATGGATTATAGAGAAGGGAGTATGAGTATAAGTCAGGATATCAACATGGATTTGAAAATAAGCATCGAAAAATATTGCAGATGCTTGGATTTGTCACATTATCAAGGTAATCTATCTTTTTCCAACAACTTATGCCTTTAGCCTCTTTTTAAAGTCAAATACTAATGCTTTATGAGACCAACAAAAGCCTGAAAAAGTGCCTCTCTTTACAACTATTATGCAAAAAGTATCTACAAAGAAGGAAGATGCTGATAAAGAGGTTGATGAAGAGAAGTTGAAGCAGATCAGAGAGGAGCTAAAAGACTTTAGGAAAGTATTTTTGATTAAAACTCTTGATCTCCCTCTTGGGGCAACCAAGCAAATTAGAATCAGGAAGTATAGTGAAAATGTTATGACAAGAGTAATGTGTGGCTCATATTTTAGCATATTATTACATACGGAGAAAAAGACAAAGTTCTAGTTCATAATTACCAAGGAGACTACTATGTCACAGGAAGTTTTTGTAGTTATGACGGGGCTGATATGAGAAACGGATGCCTCTTTGGAAACAAACTTACATGTAGCTCCTGAGGCTCAGCATTTAATATTGAATCAGGAAGTGTAGAAAATGGACCAGCTGTTAGAAATATCTCAGCATTTCCCATAGACATTAATAGAAAGACAGATGAACTGAGTTGTTTTATTCCTTATGGAAGTATCCCTCCTTATGGGAAAAGTAAAATCGCCGAGAAAGATGATAACTCAACAGAGCGGTTTGTGATAGTCGGAGATACTCTTGCATCTCTAGGAGCTATTTCTGCTTTGAGAGCAAATTTCCAAGGTGAACTTATTGTAATCCCAAATACATTTGAAAAACCCGGGTTTGTGAATACAAAAGCTCTTAGGGAAAATCTCAACCCTTTAGGGGTCAAAGACCAGTATATTGTAGATCCTGATTTTCTTGAGAAGAATTACTGAAATATCAACAGTAAGTAAACCTCTCTTAACTAGAAATAGACCATTCAGTTGAGGACATTGTTAAAATTGATTCAGCCAACAAACTTCTTTCATTTGATGATGGAAGTACACTTAAATTTTCAAAGTGACTTCTTGCTTGTGGTTCTCATAAATTGAAAGAATTCGAACAATACGAGAATGTCTATTCCCTTGAAAATATCAAAGATCATGCAAAGATTCATAATGCAGTGAAGAAAGCTAAAATTGTAGTGATCTATGGCTCAAATTTTGAGACTTATGAGCTTGCTTCAAGTGTCAGGAAATTAGCAGACTCATATGGAAAAACAGACATGGATGTTATACTTATTGAATCTGGTACATCTGAACTATTAAGATCCTTTGGCGAAGAGGCTCACAAAACTTTAAAGGCTATCATGCATATAAATGGGATTAGAACTGTCTCCGACATGAAAGTAATTGCTACCAATAGCAAATCTGGCTCTTACAATCTCGATACAATGACCTTATTCCAAGAAAAGACAGGGACAAAGATAAACCTCCAGCCAGACATGGTGATCACTGAGCTTGGTATGGGAAAATCAATAGTCCCTATTAGCAGCCTGTTGATGTAAATATTTCATTAAAATTTAGACAAAACCCAAAGAAAAGCGCAGCGATTATCTCTCCTAACGAAGTGGTTTCAGTAGACTTCATGAATTCAGTGGAGTACAACAATCTTTACTCTAATTTATTCGCTGCAGGAACCTGCTCAGTTGCTACAAGCTCCTACAAAGATGGCAATTATAGACAGCAAGATGCATTCTGAGAGGTAGACTCAGGATTTTACGCAGGCCTCAGTATGACAAATAGAAGATACGGTTTCAAGGATGTCCCAATGTCTATCTTCAATATCGCTGGTAACAATTTGGCATATATTGGTGAAAGAGATCCAATTTACACTGATGTTATTGTTGAAGGAGACCTCAAAAAACTTAAATTTATCATCTATCTTTATAATCTGGAGAAGCAGAAAAACAGTAAGAGAAAATCCTTTGAAGACCAGTGTGTTGGGATCTTGGTGTGAAATATGCCAAAGATTCACCTCTTCCTCAGAGAAGCCATGCGGCTAGAAATAATGCCACTGATTTCGAAATTCAAAGTGAATAAGCATGGAAAGGTACCAGGCTGTTCTTATCTTTAGAGTCAAGTGTCTTTCAAGGATATCTGCAACAATGTAATCAAGAAAAGCAAGAGCCAAGTTGAATGCAAACGTGATGAATATTTGAAGTAATTTCAGTTTACTTCAAATGGCAGGGGTTTTGGGGTTTTGGGGTTTTGGGGTTTTGGGGTTTTGGGG